AATCGTCAATCAATCCTCTTTTTCAAATAAACAAATGCATAGGAATTTGTCCCGGTAACCTTAATCATCAATATATACAAACCCTACTCCCAATCACAACTCCCATCCCGTATTAATAAGAATTAACTTTGTAAGTAGAATAAGTATTTAGAATTAGTCTCAGTAAAACGTTAATAGACTCAATATATTCAGTTTTTTTTTGTCAATTTTTGACCTTAATTCAAATACTAAGGAATTGCACAGACTACAAATTCTTATTTTACGTATAAAATTCAATCTAATAATCTACATATACATGAAAAGTCTCCAGTTTCAACAAATTCATCCATAATTTTACTTATTTATTGCTCGTATTACCATGGATACCATTATTATTAAGTGTGAAGACTTGATGTTGTCATGGACACCAAATCGGATTATATAACAATATCCAGTTTTTGAATTGAGCGCATTGTAAACAAAACCACCCAAGTCAGAATTCATTTAAAAAACATGATTGCATAATATTGAGCTGAAAAACGAAATACATAATTTCTTATGGGGAATCCCCTAATTCTGAAAGATATACAAAATATTATATAATTAGGGGATTACCTATATGATATCGTTAAAGTAATAGGTGTAATCCGCGTAATCGATTATGTATGTAACATCATGCATTGTTTCAATAAATAAATTTGCGTACTAATTTAAAATAGTCCTTATAAATTTGCTGTTGATTTCAAAGTCAAGTGGAATAATGAATAAAAATTGTTTTTCATTCTAAATATAGAGTAAATATCTCAGATAAAAATAGATTTCCCCCGATTGTATGGTGTATGTAAGGTCGTATTCTGGTTTAGCTTGTGGTTGACCTGTAAAATATCTTCATGTTGGTTGCCTGAATGTTCCATCGGCTGCGGCTAACTTCACTATAGTTTACATCAGTTTACATTGGTACGAGAAGCACGCATCGAGATAACCTCAAAGTTTGCACGTGCGTTTGAATACAAGAATAACAGAAGACGATGGGTAAAGTAAAGACTGAGGAGAATTTGGATAATTCCGTTGCCGATGTTTCCATGAAGGAGGAGGGCAGCTACGAATCGAAGCTGAAGCATGTGAGCATCATTGCGAAACCCATGGCCTCGAAGAAACTCACAAAGAAATGCTACAAACTCATCAAAAAAGGTAATAAAAGTTTGATACTCTTTCAAAAAAATATTAATATTAGCTAAGTTAATCAAATATTTCTTCAGTTCTATACACAATTTAACAAAAAAAAAGTTTGATACATAATTTGTTTGTTCATTTATTATGACATTCATCATATTTTGTTTTATGCAAAGCATACTTAGATTTGCTTTACTCCAAGTATAAATGCATGTTTTTGGTAATACAAACAACATTTGTTTAAGGTTATAACTTATACATGTAATTGAAACACAAATATAATTAAAGTTATTCTTCTCATTATATGCAACTTTATATACTTTGCAATGTTTATGGAAGTATTCTAAAACAATTTTAGTCAATTTTTGAATATCATATATTGTTTTTGTCATTGTTCATGTTAATGATTAAGAAAATTATTAATAAACTAATTATGAAGAAAATTTAGTTGATTGTAATTGAATGTATTTTAATGATTTAATTTATGTTTACAGCTGTCAAACATAAAACTTATGTGAGGAACGGTCTGAAGGACGTGCAGATGAGGATACGCAAGGGAGAGAAGGGTCTGGTGATCTTCGCAGGAGACGTTACTCCTGTGGACATAATGTGTCATCTTCCGGCCGTCTGCGAGGAAAAGGATATACCTTACTGCTTCACCCCAAGTCGCACGGATCTCGGAGCTGCATTGGGCGCGAAAAGGGGATGTCTGATGGTCCTTGTGCGGGAGAACGAGGAATACAAAGAGGCCTACGACGAATGCAAAGCGGAACTCAAAAATTTGGCCGTCGAACTGTAAAGAGCTGAGGGATGAGAGGAGAACGTTAATTTTTAGGTATATTTACGCGTTTATTTACAGTATTTGTATTTACTGTACAGATTTATAAGAATTACATTTACTTTTTACGAAACTCTCTTTCTTCTCTGAAACCTTTTCATATTTCAAAGTCCTGAGTGCTTTCCTTATTCCATTACCTTACATTCGATCCAATGTTCACTTATGTTCACTTTTACACGACGAGAAGATAAAAAGGCGTAGTGTAAAGTGAATTATCAAATTTTAAAAGATTCAATTTGTAAAAGGGTTAAGAGAAAAACACCAAAGTTGTAGTACAAATATTTTTTTTCTTTATTATTTCTTAATATTAGAATAGCAAATTATTGCACAAGAATTTTTATATCAACATGATTGTGATGCCGTCGTTAATCCTCTCTTTTTTTTTGCTTGTCTCGAGGAAAGTCGCCTTTAAACCTGACATCCATCATCATCTTCAGCAGCGTTACTACCAACAACTAACGTCCTAAACTCGATTGTCGGGTGTTCAATTACAGTTCCAAAACGTATAAACAAAAACCAAAGGCAAAAGGAAAAGAAAAACATAACTTTAGACATTAACATTGTCTCAACGTTTCCAAGCCAAATTCATAAAATTCCATATATCTACAAAAAAAAATGTTCACGAAAGAGTTCTTTGTTTTAATCAAAACAGAAATTATTTTCAGCAATCCTAGATTTTCTATTAGGTCACAACTTTGTTAATAAAAATTTAAATTTGTGTATTTAACGAAATGTTCGAATATCTTCTACAGAAAAATGCAATAATTACCATAGAAAATTACCGAATATTTTTTTAAACAATTTTTTTTTGCTCGTTTCTAATGACAACTGTTACCTCAAAATTGACGTTCATTTGTAATACGCATTCATTTATTTACACATTTTTGTTTCTTTGTTGCTATAACAACAAATATTTCATAAAATCAATTTAAAACTTTTAATAATCTGGATATCATTTAAAATTATTCATTTGCTCTACCAAATATTTAAAATCCTTTAATGACCAAAAAAAAAATATAAAATTATTAATGAATGTGCAAATTTTTACAAAATAGAAACATTGTTTGGTTTTCTCTTCCGTTTCCAATGACAACGTGCGTTTCTTTCCGAAAACTTTACTTAAATTTATCACAAGCTACGAATCCACACTTATTTCTTAAACAACTCCTCTCTATGAAAAGTCCAACATTTGTAAAACGTTTGATTTTAAAGAAATTTTGATCGACACAAAAATTTTGCGCTAAAAAAAACGAATTTATCTGAAGTATGAAAAATATATTAGGTTTTTAAAACTTTTCAAGAATTCTGCAGCAAATGTTTAACGCTTATAGGAAAATGTGTTTCAAGCTTACATAAACGCAGAGTACGAACATTTTCGACCACGTTTTTTTTCCTCCAAAATCCTAATTTTTAACATCTCACAAGCTAAAATCTTTCTACATTTTTTTTTTTCGATTTCCGTAGCAATTTTCCAAACGATTCTCAAAGGGTTTCTCTTTTCCATTAAGGCAAAAAAAAAACAAACATAAAAAATAAATCAATTGAAAATGCATTTTATTCTTCATACTGATTAAATATATATATATAAAAGAAAAGAATGCGCCAAAATGTACATGGCTTCAATTAACTTAGTATGCTTTGATGACAATGATTCAATTGTTTTTATTATTTTTTTTAATTGTGTAATAATGCTTTGTTGAACACGTTTTTAGCTTAGATATATATATAAAAAAATTGTTTTTTTTTCTTGTTGTTTGCGGTTTGCCGAGACGACTCACTTTTTAATTCTCAATTTCGTCATTCCCGCGAACGAAATTAGCAGGCTCGGAAATTTGTTTGTTTTGTGTGTATTTGTGTTTTGTTTTTGTTTGTTTCTCTCGTCATTTCAAAAAAAGTACAAATGTTTCCTCTCCATACGCAATAATTACTCAGAGACTAACGAACTATACTTCTCTTTTTGTTTTTGTTATGATAATAATATAATTAAATATAATTGTTGTTGTCTTCCAGAAGAGTTTCTGGATGAGTGCTAAGATTACAACAACAAAAAATTGCATCAGAGTTACAATAATAATGAATTACAATTATAATAATGTGATTATATAAGATTATTATTATGTTTTAATTATATTCTCTTCAATCTTTGATTTCCTCTTGTGTCAGCGTAAAAAATCAACTGCTTTTGTTGTGTTTTTTTTTGAGCAAAAAGATCTGCAAATCGAATTTTGTTTCGTGTCTTCGTGTGAGGTGTTTTTTTTTAAATGCGTGGAAGAATTTTTACCTTTAACCCATATATTTTTTGTTTTAACTATCACAGACATTAGTTAGGAATGCTTACGACGAACGTTTTCTTCCTTCCTCTTTATTTTTTTTTGTTCTTGTTAACATTATTTTTGTCGTTTTTTTGAATGAAACAAAATGAAAATTTCTGTTCTCTCCTCGTGTTTACAGTTTACAGATCCTTTTCAGTGTTTTAGTTTTAGCTATGTGTGTGAAAATAATAGGGATCAGCTGAAAAAAAAAGAAAAGGGGAAACAAGCATTAGCACAATAATTGTCATCGATAATTGCGAATTGTTTTATAAGCGAAGCGTGATTATGATTTTGAAGCATTATGAAATGATTTTTTTTTGTGTTGAAGTGAATGATTGCGATGGTTACATTATTATCATGGTTAAAGGCAATATCGTAGAAGGCATTGATTGACATTGATTTGACATTAATATGATTTAACTCATAATTTTGATATATATTAGGTTTCAAAGATTATACTGATACAAAATTATGAGAAAGATGTAATTTAATTAAATAATTCAAGTACAATTTTTATTTTTAATCTAAACATTAGAAAATCTTATGAAATATCATTGTATGTCAAGCAAATGTCAAAATGATGACGTGCATGATGATGATGATGTAATCAATGATTAAAACGATCTAAAATGCAAATATGGTCATGCTTATGATTCACTTTTTTACATAATGTAAAAGCAATGCACTAATTGAAAGCAATGTTCGTGTAATGCACGAATATCGATCTGCCTCGCTACGAAAGTTTCTCCTACACAATTTGTTTTTTTTTTGAACTGAAGTAACGCGAAATAAAAAAAAAAGAAGTATTCAAAGCATTCTTTTTTTTTTAATAACTATGAATTAAAAAGTAACGATTTTCGATATATAAAAAAAAGTAATAAATACTGGTTTTTCCATTTTGATTGCAAAGCGTGATTGATGGGAATATGGAATGAGTCTGCAAATCTGCCTTTTTGAATAATTGACTAGCTTTAATGTGCAATTCGATTAACAATATTTTTGGGAAAGGTTCTTTGAAATTAATCAAAAGAAGACAAAAATAATTAAATAGAAATATGCATGCATGCATTTTCGATGACAATCCGTGCTAATGGATTTCCTCTTTGCTTTATTTTGGAATGCTTGGGTCTCGAAAAATGGCTAAAATTGACATTTTGTACGTGTTTTTTTTTTTCTTGTTCTCATTCTTTAATGTACGAAAGAATCATCTTCCTCGAATACGCCTACGCTAATTTATATGAATATATATTTTTGTTTTTTTTTCCAAATGATTATACTAAAAGTGAAAGAAAGTGGTGGACAAAATGTACAAAATATTAATCAATGTTTGCTAGATTATATAAACAAAAAAAAATGACTTAGTTGAACGTCAATTATGTCGTTTGTTTTTTTTTTGTGATAGGCGTGCACAGGGAGGGAAAATGTCGTAAGCTCGTTATAATAATTATTTTTGTTTGTTTAGGGGACATTTTTTTTCGTGTTTGTTTGTTTAATTTGTAGTTTTAATTGAAGCCTTCTTGTTTTCTTAGTAAAAATACGAAAGTGCATGTCTTCAACGAGATATAATATTTTACAAGGTGTTTATTTCGTATATTCTTATAAATTGACTTTAAACTGCTCACTACGCGATACTTGCCGAGTAACAAGCACTTGCAGAAAATTGACAAGATGTCTAATTGAGTCAAATTACTTGTCAAGTTACGACGTTTTCGTTTAGTAACATTCATTTTAATTAGTCATGTTTTCATTATAGTAAAAATCTTTGTGCTTGGCAAGTATAGATGGGATGTACGTTTGATTATTGAAAATACTTGTAACAAGTAGAAGTTACTTGACAAATGCCGCTTAGTGAGATTTTTTTTTATAGACAACTTATGTAATAGAATTGGAAATACATAAATGTTTGTTAAAAATGGATATTGTTTGATGTTACCTTGTAAATTATTGTATCTGTTTTGATCATGATTGTGTCTAAATTTGTTATTGAACTGACATAATTGACGTTGGACTATGTGGTATGTGTTCGTGTATTAATTTTTATATATTTTGTAGGTATATATTAGGTAGAGAGAAAGAGATAGAGAGAGATATATATATAGAGAGAAAGAGATAGGCGTTAAAAGTATGAGAAATAAAATGGAGTGGGAGTAATATCTTCTCTTCTGTTCGCATGTAGTAATAATAGTAGTAGTAATAATAATAATAAAATTATATATATATATGAGTGTAAATCACAGTTTGTCGGTAGAAGTGGACAGCGCGGGATCAGATTCACTTTTCCTCGCGAAACATAGGCACCCGGAGGAGGTCTTCAGAGTGGGTTTGAGTTCCCTGTCCCTCTCGACCAAGCACTTTTGATAATAATCATAGTCTTTCAGATACCAAACGGGAGGCCATCGATGCTCGACGAGGTAAGCCTGATTATCCGGATGCAAGAGTCGAAGACTCCGGGGCGACATCCTGCACAGCTTGTTGTAATTGATGCACAGATGGTTCATGCAGAAGTCGGCCAGCTGATGCGCGTTATGCAGCTTCACGGGTTCCAGAAGCCTCAAACACTGTTCGATGGCTTCGTTGGATGGCAGTCGTTCCAGGTCTTCGATGACGCGCCTCTCGACGAGCGCCACCAGCCTGGGAAGGCATAGTCTGTTCGCGAGCTCCAGCAGGTTCACGCACCTGGAGGCGACGACCGCTGGAACTTCGTCGGTGTAGAGGAAGCACAGCAGCTTGTGGAAGGTGTACTCCCGGACGCCCGGGAACTCTATGACTTTCGCCTGGCCCTCGCGGAAGTCGCCGCTGAACATGGCCTTCATCATGTCGCATCTGCATGCCAGCATCGGCTTGTGCGCTGCGCAACCTCCGTCGTCCAGCTCGAAGATCACGTCGGCGAAGAGACCTTGATCCAGGCACACGTCCTGCATCCGTCGCTTCAGGTGCTGCTCGTGACTCTCCGGTGGATATTCGTTGGACAGCAGTGGACCCAGATGTGGCAGCTCCAGAAGTTCAGCAGCTCTTCGCAGTTCCTACAACAGCAAATCAAGATTCATTTATAAAACGATTCCAACATGCAACCCTTAACCCAGGTACACAAAAACACCCCCTATTATAATTTATTATAATAATGTACGCAAGAACATACAAAATTTCATGTTCTATGAAACTTCATGATGATCTAAAATGTATGTAACGATTGTAATTTATTTTGTTGGAAGGGATTTCTAGGACATCGATTACAATTTTGCGAATATACATAGGTCATCGACCTGCATTAGGATCAAAATGTGGAAAAGTAAGATTGGAGTAAATTACATAAAATTTAAGCGACGAGGAGCTAAATGTATATTTTAACTGGGGGGGCAATAGAAAGGGCTGTGAATAGGTAATGAATTGGTTAAATGCGAGGGCAAGAGTGAAAGTCGGTGGGTAAATCGATGGATCTAATATTAGTGCCGGTTGCGTGAGAGCTGCACATGTTGTCACTTGCTTTTTCTAAGAATAGTGACTGTTGTCAGAAATACGAAATAAATTGTCCAGAGCTCGTGTATTTATTACATTAATTCCATTCCGAATTTGAACATAACATAAGCATCAAATTATAATAAATACAAAAAAAAAACATTTCGATCCTTCAATTTATTTTGCAAATTACGTTAATTAAAGATTTAACAAGTTATTGGGAATATTCAGTAACCTAACCTAACTTTACTTGAAATCTAACCTATTTGTTTTTAATTAACACATGACATCTGTCAATATTTTTTTTTAGGTTACTACCTTGACAATTGTTAAAGATCGGATTAACGAATTGCAAATATTCAATTAGTAAACAGCATGAAAAAGTAATGATAAATATTTGTGTAGTATTAATTAAAGCGTACTGCGGCAAAAGGTACAGCTTTGTTGATACGCATTTTGGGTGTGTACTTTGCACCAGCAAATATTTATGCAAATACGCGCAAGGTCTTTTTTGTTGCCGCACGAAACTTAACGGCAGCAATATGTATATATATATATATATATAAGCCCTACGTTTACTTTAATTTCATTTAAATTGCGTACTGAAATGCAGTTCAAAGAAGAGTCGACATCATTTCCATCATCGAGAAAAACAAAACATGTTACGCTGTTATTGTCTAACTAGACAATCTATTAAAATAATCCCGTTTACTGTCCCGCAATAAAATCGGATACGCTCAGAGTCGTTGCGCAATGGGAAAAACGACGTTCTGGGAAACATGCATACATTTCCAGCGACGACGGTAAAACGCGCAATTTTATTTATTACTGAGAAAATGGTATTTATTTGAATGCATAAGAAGGTTGAATGAATATTAGATGATATTACGAATCGAAATAGGTCAGTGGCGTGCGAAATCTATATAATTTCACAATTTTCTATATTAACATGAAAACTAATTTATGATTACATAAGAAACGGTCTTTCATTGCGCTTCCTTTGATATCATTGGAGTTACGTAATGTTAATTGATGACTAAGGTGTAGCTATTTATTACTTCACGTTTCATTTATTTAATCTATAACTACATATACCAATTATATAATTTAATATGCAAAATGAAGTTAAAACTATGGCCTTTCCAACGAGTCTATTAATCTTTATCATGTAATAAGTGTGTTGAAGAATATTACCTGTATATCTACTCCTCGTCTATCTAGTGATCCTGTGTACATGAACTGTAGGCAGAGTTGCAAAGCTCCAGGGCTGACCAAACGGCTGAAGGTGATAACCGTTTGACCATCTACCGTCTTGACGGAGTGGAATGCTGGATCCAGATCTCGTCCTGACGATGGTAAAGCTTGACAACTGGCGCGTCTCTTGCACATCTTCTGCTCAGCTCTGACCAGACACTCGGTGTCATCAGCGAATTCCCCCAAAGAGCTGACCATGCTCGAGTCGGAAGTGCTTCGAGCCATGAGATCTGCAGTGAGGAGACGATAGAGAGCCGGGCTGGCTGCAGCAAGGACGAAGCGGTGAGCAGGAAATCCTACTGGACCGGAGACCAGAAGGACATCAGCGTGAGCCCTGTCCAACCACAGTTGTCTTGTATTCTCGATGAAGGTGCTCGAAGGTTCTAGAACTTCTGGTTTCGGTGGTGGAGGCGGTTTGAACGGTGCTTGTAACAAAGGCCTTTGCACCTTCTTCAGATTGGTCATCCAGAAGCGTTGCTGTCTGCGCGCCATCAACGCTGCTCGTATAGCGTTCTCGAACACCTCGTTCACACCGTAATAGGTGAGCACTGATGTTTCGTAGTAGTTCAAGCCCAGCTCTCTGGCGACGTCCCTAGCTTCATCGGGCATCACCAAATCGCTCTTCCTCGTCGCCCGCACGAAAGGACTCTTGTCTCGGAAGTAGCTCAGATAGGCCTCATCACGATACATGTAGCGAAGATCGTTCTTGCAGCCCACCAGGATGACTGGAGTGCTCGGACAGAAGCGTCTGATCTCCGGGTACCACATGAGGCGGCAGTTCCTCAGCGATACCGGATTGTTGATGCTGAAGCACAGCAGCACCACATCGGAACGGCCGTACGCGAACCTCCGGTCCTTCTCGTGGTCCCCGAAGGTGTCCCACAGACGCAGCGACACGGAGACGCTGTCCACCACCTCCCAGCTCCTCTCCAGCACATCCTTGTATATCCTGTACTGGTCTATCGCCCACACCGTCGGCACGTGCGTCGACAGAAGCTGCCCCAAAGACACCTGCTTGTTGCATGCCCTCGCGCATATCAGACGCGTCTTCCCTACTGCCGTGTCGCCCACCACCACACACTTCACGAGCTCCTGGTGGGGCTGTTCATTGTCCATCCCCCATCACACGCCGCCACTGGCAACCTGAAACAAAACACATTTATATTGGTACACTTTAATACGCCATCTCTTGAGAAATAATAATACTCAATTTACAACATTTTTGTTATTATGAAGGAAACCTATGAATAAAACTCTATTTACCATCAATTTGCAGTTGTTATTATCCATGTCAATTGTAAAAGTGCAAACTTGTATAATGATCGAATGAAAATTCTTAAATTTTCATAGAATCCCTTTTTTTTTCATAAACAAAGGAAAATGCAAGCGCATTCACAAACAAACCACAATTACGTTTAATTGTATTGTTTTCAAGATCCTAAATTAGTGTTAAATGGGTGTTAAATTACTAAGAAGACAGAGACGAAAATGAATAAAAATAAACTAAAAAAGATGAAGAAGAAAAAGCAAAACGAGTAGCAATGAAACACGAAAGGTTACATTCCATGTTTGTGTGTTTATTTTTGTGTTGAGTGAATAAATAAAACCGGAGGAAACATAACAAAACGAGAATCTTGACCATTCCAACAGTTCATTGCTAAACGCATATTTCATGAATAATTCTTACAAGATAAACGCAACTTGTTAATTGATTGTTTTGCTTTTGTTCAGACTGTCACGTCACTTATCGTGCGTAGACGACTATCACATAACTGCTTCTTTTGTGTTTCCCTTTAACCAGTATTAATCAGTTTATATGTCTTTGTACATTCTATATAGAAAAAAAAAGTTTGCTACATGCATTTGCAATGAAAGCGTTCACATACGTTTATTAACGTTAATACTTTTAAATAATTGGAAATAATATTTGTATTAGTATGTTTCAATAGAAATATGGATTTTCCTAAACTGAGATTGATAAAATAAAAATGGTTTTCATGGAATGCGAATCCATATGTTCCTATAAATCCGTGACACGTGATCGCGATTATACCTAAATTATCCCAAGATTATAGCTTTCAGATTGGCCAAACTTTACATGCTTAACCAAATAAAAGCAACAAACAAAAATCGCCATGGCAACATTGATCCCACCTCGAAATATTTGGTTTCTGCAAACAAAAAATTGTTTTGTTTGCGATTCGGTCTGGCCAGACCTGGCGTTATTCTAGTTAATTGGATAATTACCATTTCGCATTTCGGGATTAGCAGAGAGATTAGTCGAAGCCAAATTATATGGCTGGAGCTGAACAAAGGTATGGAGAAAGAGAAAACATACGCAAAATGTTGGCTGAATTATGTAGAGAGCGCATTGTGCGAGTATTGTTTGCACAAGCGTTGCCATGGGGATTAAACCTGAATGTTTAATTAATCTCATTAAATTGTGTCAATAGAGATGTCTGAGATTAAAGGAAACTGTCGCCGTACGCATTGAATCAGAAAACTGCATACATTTAGAGTAAATACTCATCAATTATTTGAAGCTTTCATCTTCAAAATATGTTTGATAGTTACAAAAGTGTTTGAATTTGATTTGATTTAAAGTGTTTTTGTCATATTAGGTTAGGTTAACTTCTGTTATATAAGCTTATGACATATAAGGTTATGTTATAAGGTTAGATTCTGACATCTAAGGTTATATCATAAGGTTAGATTCTGACATCTAAGGTTAGGTTAGCTGCTGACATATAAGGTTAGGTTAGCTTCTGTCATAAAAGATCAGGTTAACTTCTTTCACATAAGTTTAAGTTCTTAAGCTTCTGTCATGTTGTGTCCAATTGACATATCAATTGATAAGTAACTGGTAATGTTTTCAGATCAATTTAAGTTACGTCAATGTCATAACAGCAATGACATTTCTTTAATAAAATTACTTTTATCTATCAAATGATATCAAAAGTAAATATTGATGTCAAACGAATGATGAATAAGAAGGAAAATCTTAATTTATAATTAAAGCTAATTAGTTAACAAACTGCATTTGTGAGGGAGATGAGAAATTTAAAATAAGCACTTAAATGGTTTCAGATAAATATTATGATCATCTTTTCTAAAAAAAGGAAATAAATAAATAAAAGTAGGTGTAAATGTGTAGGAGGTCATCGTAAATAGTCGCGTTCTCCAAAGAGTCGATAATTAAATACGCGAAATGCAAATCGAGCATTGCCGGAGTGGAAATTGAAGCAGTGAAAAAAGGAAAGAAATAGAATTAGAAGAGAGAGAAGGAATGGTATGATAATAATAATAGGAGAGAAGAAAAAAACGAACTGATGGAAATGCGGTTTTCGAGTGATTCCGAAGAGAGAAGAAATCTGTGCACGAAGGAGGCGGCAGCAAGCAGGAAATTGGTTTAGCTTAGTCGGTGATATTAAATTGGCAATTACCGAGGCTAATTTCTGAAGAATGCAATGATCACGAGGAACGAGGTCGTGCATGAATGCGTTTGTTCATAACGCAGAAACGCGAAACGAATTCAATCCATTTTATCAATCCGCACGTTCGTCGTTCGCTCGCTCGCTCCACGAATGCATCATCATTTTTCTTTCCATTCATCCAACCACATCCATCCAGCTCGATCCAGTTTCGTAATACTCCTACTTTTTTATTTATTATTACTTTTTTTCATTCCTCACTCATCATCTATAAATGCATTTAATTTACCACTCTTATCAAACTATTTATTGTTGTGTTATTCCATCGTTATCCAATTATACTTTCTCTCAGAATTAACCGATTTTTGCGGTGAAAGTCACACATCAAAGTGAGTGTCTATACATGAAAAAGTAATAGAATTTGTTCGATTCGTTACAGTTTTCAATAGATTTAATTCATTTTTTATGTGTGCATGTGTAAACGTAACGTTTATGAATTGATTTTCGCAATCGATAACGCTTTAATTATTTAAACAAATTTGCCACGCATCGTGTTCGGAATAAATTACGAGTTTGCTTTTATGTAAACAGGATAAAAATGCAATTAAAAATATTTATTTCCTTTCACAAATCTATATACAATTTTATAACCTATTATATTTGTTTTATGTTGAAATCGATTTTGGTTTCATAAGCTTAATTAGGTTATAAATATATTACTTAGGTTAGGTTTAGAAATAAAGGTTAATTGTGGTATCTTCGCTCAGTTTTAGTAAACTTTTTGAGGTTAGGTTACATAATGTACAAATATGTAAAAAATGATGTATATACAGTTTTATAATCTAATATATTTATTTTATGTCGAAATCGATATTGGTTATTTTGGTTTCATAAGTTTGATTATGTTAGAAATATATTAGTTAGGTTAGGTTTAGAAATAATGGTTAATAGTGGTATCTTCTCTCAGTTTTAGTAAACTTTTTGAGGTTAGGTTACATAATGTACAAATATGTAAAAAATGATGTATATACAGTTTTATAACCTAATATACTTATTTTATGTCGAAATCGATATTGGTTATTTTGGTTTCATAAGTTTGATTAGTTTAGAAATATATTAGGTTAGGTTTAGAAATAACGGTTAATTGTGGTATCTTCTCTCAGTTTTAGTAAACTTTTTGAGGTTAGGTTACATGATGTACAAATATGTAAAAAATGATGTATATACAGTTTTATAACCTAATATATTTATTTTATGTCAAAATCGATATTGGTTATTTTGGTTTCATAATCTTGATTATATTAGAAATATATTAGTTAGGTTAGGTTTAGAATTAACGGTTAATTGTGGTATCTTCATTGCATTTGACAAGTTAAGTAAGAATAAGTTAAGACATTTTAGGTTAGGTTATATGCAAAAAATATAACATTTGTCATAATGAAAACTACGTTAAATACATCTGTGCATGAGGTAAAATTAATAATGTTGTTAGGTTAGGAAAAACAATAGATTAGGTTAGGTGCAAATACATTAGGTTATATTTAGGTTTAGATTTAGCTATAATAAGTTAAGTTAGCTTCTATCTTATAAGGTTAAGCTAACCTAATGTAACCTTATGAAATAGATTAACTTCTGTTATAATAGGTTATGTTAGCTTCTATCAAATAAGGTTAGGTTAGCTTCTGCCATATAAGGTTAAGTTATCTTCAATCCTATAAGGTTTGGATAGCTTCTATCATATAAGGTTAGGTTAGCTTCTATCAAATGACGTTACGCTCAGGAGTTTTAGGCTAGATGAACTTCTGTCACTTCAGTTTAGGTTACGATTTATTTGCTACGATTAGTTTATGTATAAAATAGTAATTTCCCTATTATCATGGAATTAGGTTATAATAGAAACAAAAAATATGTATTATTTTCATTTAAAAAATACTTTATGTATAAGTTACGAAGTTTGTCATTTAAGTTTAGCTTTAGTTATAATAAGTTATGTTAGCTTCTATCATATAAGTTTAAGCTATCGTAACGTAACCTTATATAATAGATTAACTTCAGTTATAATAGGTTATGTTAGCTTCTACCATATAAGGTTAGGTTATCTTCTATCATATAAGGTTAGGTTATATTCTACCATATAAGGTTAGGTTAGCTTCTATCATATAATCATATCAAATGACGTTACGCTCAAGAGTTTTAGGTTAGATGAACTTCTGTCACTTTAGTTTAGGTTACGATTTATTTCCTACGATTAGGTTACGTACAAAAAACTAATTTCCCTATAATCATGGAGAGTTGAATGATTCGATATTAGTGGAATTAAAGTTGTTTATTTGAATTTAATTCAGTTCTCTTTGAAAATCGATACACCCGTATTGCAGTATAAGTGCATGTCGAAGCAAACTCATTTATGTATATATACATATATAAAAAAGAAAACAGTAATTCCAAATTCCTTTGTACACAAAATTCATTCACACAAACAAGTTATAAATATTTTGTATTTATATACAAATCAAATAATATTATTTTTATCATATAAATTTAAATTGTATATGAAGAAATGCACTCGAACGTTCAACCGTTTGATGGAAGTAAATACATTGAATCAAGATATTAAATGAGTGGCGATAAAAATAGATGGATAAGGATGTAATAGACAAACAATGTGAACACTCAAAATTACGGTACAAAAGTCACGAAAACAAGAATATT